TGGAGCCAAAATGTCAGAATAAAATCAAGAAAAAATGCTGCCAATGCAATGAAATGTACTAAACTATATTCTTTAGTTCAGATGTAGGTGTCCCAAGAAGAGCCTCTGTGTGAGAAAGATTATGTAATGAAATGGCTGAGTTATTAATATAGGTCTCCCCTGCCTTATTCTGTTTTGGCTTACCCTGTTTTAGGATCAGCATTAGGTATATCATGTGCCTCAGTTTAATGATGGTAAAAGCAGGAAAGGTAAATCTAAAATTCCATTTCTATGTTATCAATGATATAATAATTTATAAGAGTTAAAACGCCTCTTTATGTCTGCAGTATAGTACATGTACAATGTATTACTAGTATTCTATTTACAACTACATGCATTTTACATTACTATATACAGCAGGTTCTTGAGATAGAAGAGGGATCGGGGCCAGATTCACATACAGTATATCAAAGTCCACACCTATACCACAGTATGCATGATTAAAAGATGTAAATAACCATCCCTTATATGATAATAGGGTTTTCCTGGAAGGAAACTCCCATGTAAAATGAGGGAAAGGTGTACTTGCCCATCAGTTTGTGTTTTTGTTTACCCCATGTAACTTTTGCAAAATGCTAGGATCTACAGTAGCTTGGAATGTTGAAGGATTTACAACTGCAGAAATGTCTCACGAGTAACAGTCAAGCACACGTCTCAGGGGCATGTTAATACAATTCTCAGGGTTGCTTTTGCACTTCTTTCAGTTATGATAAGATCACTTTTTTAGCCATATCCAATATCTTGCATTAGGAATTTGTCTTTTCGCAGACCCCAGCTTGCTCTCCATGAGACACACAGGCACACAGACGGGGAGAGAGAAGCTTGGGGTCAGAGCGCTGGGTCAGCCATTTATACCTTGGCCCTGGAGCAGCTGGGGTTAAGGCAATACCAGTTGTCATGCCATTCTGGAAGTTATGGAAGATCACTTAACAGAACTGTTTTCTTGCAAGGCCTTTGCTATTGGATAGTTATTTCGCCTTTTAGTCTGTTACACACAGGTTCAGAAGTTACTGCATTATTGCATTACAGCACCCTTCTACATACTGTATGTAGTACAGGGAACTTTCCTTTCGTGTAATGCAAAGTGAGAACAAGGCATATACAACAGGATATATAACATTAAAAAAATAAATAATTAGCAAGGAAGTGCAGACAGTACAATGCTTCTTTAATGAAGTGAAGCACAGCTGGTAAAACTTTCATTGTAGGTGGTCATGATTCATATCCGTAGCTGAAAATAGAAATAACAGAGGAGGAATTGTGAATGTTGAGCACCTCTAGTCAAAAAGAATAAATTATTGCTTTAAATCAAGTCTGATATGTGCTATGCACTGTACATACAATATTTTATTATCAAATAAAGAATGCATATTTTAGGAGTGGTTGAAAGATGAAGTAAGGCCTGAAAGAGAAATATATGAATTGAATAATAGCAACACTGCAATTGAAATGGCTATTACCTGAGAAGAAAGGCAGCATTACTGCTTCATAGCCTGATCTCATCAGATCACACAAGCTACAGAAGGTTGGACCTTGCAATTACTAGAATAGAAGACCTCCAAAGAAAACTTGGTTGCTTCATAAGTGCTGTTGATGGGTTTGCAGACCTTGTTGGTGGACCACACTTTGACCTTACTAAAGCTTACTGGTAATTGAATTGATGAAGCAGTTTATCACCTTTTAGCTGTTTAGTGAAGAACTCTTGCAAAATGGTTGCTGAGTAACCAAGGTGGGTGCTGTGCTGCAGTGCTTGATGGGTTCCTTCCTATATGCAAAGTGCTTTGGGATAGAAAATCCTATCTATAAACATATATTTTAGTGTTAAAAAAACCTGGACTATTGTGTGTATCATAAAACTTAAAAGTTTTAGTTATTTTCTATATTTGTGTCTTTGTTCATGTAGTTTAGTGATCTTCCTTTACCTTTTTGAAAGTATTATAACAATTTGGTTGCAAGAAAAATAAACATTTAAAGAAGTTAAATTCAAGAAATACTTTATTTCCATCAATATAGGTATTCTGCGCCAGCAGCCATGTCACCCTGCAACTTACAATTGGCAGCCCACTGAAGCTAAGCAGGTGTGAGCCTGGGAAAAACTAAGGTTGCTGCTGGAAGAGGTGTTAGTGAGGCCAGCAGGGGGCGCTCACCCTGCTGTCCATGTGGGTCCTAATGCCCCAGTACAGTGACAGGGACACTATACTGTAAACAAGCGCTGTCTTTCGGATGAGACGTAAAACCGAGGTCCTGACTCTCTGTGGTCATTAAAACTCCCAGGGTGTTTCTCGAAAAGAGTAGGGGTGTAACCCCGGCGTCCTGGCCAAATTTCCTGCCTTCTAATAATCCCCCACTATGAATTGGCTACATTACTTTGTTCTCCTCCCCCCAACTCCGACGGCAGGCGGAGCGACGCGCTGGTTGGAGTATTCTCGGTCACATTTAATAGTAACGTCAGCTCAAAGATTTGGTTCAAACCACCAAATGGAGATGGGCGTGCCGACAAGCAGACCCTGCTGATGCGGGATTAATGCTAGGATGAGAGAGAGAGTATAGATACTGTATTCTGCTCAAGTAGTTTACATTTCCCTTTCAAAACATTAGGAATCTTTAAAATTCAGCCAGATTCCCAGCCATTTTCCTGCACCTTTCAGCATTTGCTATTTAGACCATTATCACACAAATAAATCACAACTAGAGTATAACTGAATAAGTGTTCAATTTTATTTGTGTTAGTTCAGTTCATACAGGAGCTGCAGAGGGATGAAAATTACTGTCATGACCTTAACACACAGCCGGTAGCTGGTTGACAATAATTAAATGTTTTTTATAATGCAAATGTAGAGAGGCTTGACATTATTGGTATCCCAAAGAAGCTGTAATCTCAGCTGCACAGTTGCTTTGTAAATGTCAGAATTACAGCACAAACTGTGAGTTCTGTGAGTGAGGCATTCATGAGGTGGGATGGATTGCTTGTATGGAGTCTTTTGCCATTTTTCTAACCTGATAAACGAAGTAATTAATGTATCCCAACCTGATTAACAGTATCAGAGGATCATCTATAAGTTCCCACATGAAGTGCACTTGTCAGTTCTCATATTTGTTTCCAAATTCTTTACAATATACTGAATTGAAAAAAAATATTAATAAAACCAATATTAACTGCTAGCTATGAATCACATTATACCTATAGGGTATACAACAAACATCTGAAATGTAATTCTTGCCCTGGCAACCAAGACCTGTTTAATTTAATTTGGCATGTTTCCTTTTTGAAAGAACTGAGCCCCCCAAAAAAGTCCTCATCTGCACTCCAGATCAAGGTCTCTAGTCTCCATTTAGCACATTTGGTAAAGGTCTGGTGCTTACAATAACAAATTGCATTCATTTCTAGTCATTTTCACTTGGTTCCCTGTGGCAAATTTAAAGAAGCCTGAAAAAAAGCTTGTATGCTATCCCCAAAGCTGAAGTAATTTGAAGTAAGTCACACAAGCCAGACTGAAGACAGGTTTAAAATTGTAAAAGTCTTTGAGCGATATATTGTAGATCAGATGAATTACATTGGCTGCATAAAAAGTGATAAGCTGTGAGCAGTTATTTATATGATTTTTGAAAAGCAGTAAAAAATAATTGAATTGCTCTAGCAATATTAACACAAATGTGCAGCAATAGACCAGTTCTGTACTTCACTTCTCAGATGGCTTTTCTTCAATTTTCTGTGTAATTTTTACATCACATTATATGACAGAATACCACATGATCCGTGGGAACTGGGATTGAATGGGATTTTTTTCTATAAATCAATTGATCATTAAAGAAATGACCTTTTTTTTCCTTGGTACCACTTCCCATATTTTTATATAACAGAGATCAGGTTGTAATTCCAATAGTACAATCAGATGAATGAAATCATGTATGAAATGATATATACCATTATGGTAAAACATTTCTCGTTTCAGTACTGAGCTGTCTATGTCTTTTACATTAAAGTGCAAAAACACAGAACAAGGAACCTGCGGTTATTTCTGTTCTGAATGTCTACACTTATGAATTGTATACACAGATCCACTGTATAAACTTTGAATACACACTTCTTATAGGCTTAAATATAGACATATACTATGTTAAAGATGTTAAAGAATTAGGCACAAGACGATGTCACTGTAAATACTTGCATTAAACATCAGATATTTTTCAATGACCAGACATTCTGCATATTAAAAAGATCTTATACTATTTGTTCACATCTATGTTTATTTTTGCCTCTACAGTATGTCTATCACTATGTACATGCAACAATATTGATTTAGCAAAGCATCAAGCAGCAAACAGAATAATTCAAAGTTCGAGACCAGTTAAAGCCTACTTAAATTTTTTCAATCCAGATGATTAAAAAAATCCTTTCTATGCCTTACTTAGCTCATCAAAATTAGTAGTAAGAACTAACACTTATGCAAAACATGTATTCTTTTGAGTTACCTAGTAAACGACAACTCCACATGAGCTAGTAGTTAGCAGACTTGGTTTTTGCACATGAAATAATGACCAGTTGTGAACAAGAGCAAATATTATGGGCATTTATAACTCCTGTCAACCTAGGAAGACAATGCACAGAAACATATTAAAAGAAGGACTCTCAGTGCACTCTAAGTGGATACTGATTGCCAGGGGAACATGGGTCTTTGTGATATCCTCTAGCAATAGATTAGTGTCTCCTCAAAGCACAGTGGCCAGTGTCAGTGAAATGTTCAGGGAGTGGACTTATTTATGTGTTAGCTTGACCTTGTCCGCACCTCTCTGTTTAATGAGATATGACTAGGTTTGTTTGAGGCACACAAAATAAAAAAATGGTTGGATAAAAGGAACCTTTAAAAGAGCATTTATTTAAGAACAAACATATTTTTTTCAGTTTGAAGGTGCATGGTCTAATTATTCTGTTTATTTGTGTGTGTTTTTGTCTGGTACAGATCTGTACTGCAGTGGCTGAACCGGGTCCAATCCTTTCTGTACTGCAATGAAAATGGGTTTTGGGGGACCTTTTTGGAAAGCCAGAGAACATGCGTCTGCCACACTGGTGCCAGCCTGTGCCAAAGACCTATCCCCTGCATCATCGGTGGGAACAACAGCTGTGCCATGTGCAGCCTAGCCAACATTTCCCTGTGTGGTTCCTGCAACAAGGGCTACAAGCTGTACCGGGGTCGCTGTGAGCCCCAGAATGTGGACTCCGAGCGCAGCGAGCAGTTCATCAGCTTTGAGACGGACCTGGACTTCCAGGACCTAGAGCTGAAGTACCTCCTGCAGAAGATGGATTCACGGCTGTACGTCCACACCACATTCATCAGTAACGAGATCCGCCTGGACACCTTCTTCGATCCCCGGTGGCGCAAGAGAATGTCTCTCACCCTCAAGAGCAACAAGAACCGAATGGACTACCTCCACATGATCATCGGGCTGTCCATGAAGATCTGCCAGATGAGGAACAGCAGCATTGACCCCATGTTTTTTGTTTACATTAACCCCTTCAGTGGAAGCCATTCGGAAGGATGGAACATGCCCTTCGGGGAACATGGCTACCCTCGCTGGGAGAAGGTGAGGCTCCAGAACACCCAATGCTACAACTGGACCCTGCTACTTGGCAACCGGTGGAAGACCTTTTTTGAAACCGTCCACATTTACCTTCGCAGCCGCGCCAAGCTGCCTTCCACGCTGCGGAATGAAACGGCACAGGGGCCCGTGGATCTCTCAGACCCCGCAAAGCGGCAGATTTACATCAAGATCTCAGACGTTCAGGTCTTTGGGTACAGCTTGCGCTTTAACGCAGACCTGCTACGCAGTGCTGTGCAGCAGGTTAACCAGTCGTACACTCAGGGGACCCAGTTTTACTCTTCCTCCTCCGTCATGCTGCTCCTGTTGGACATAAGGGACCGAATCAATCGGCTTGCTCCCCCAGTTGCCCCTGGGAAACCCCAGCTGGACCTCTTCTCCTGTATGCTGAAACACCGGCTGAAGCTGAACAACAGTGAGATGATTCGAGTGAACCACGCCCTGGACATGTACAACACGGAGATCTTGAAACAATCCGACCATCTGACTGCCAAACTCTGCTGAAATGTTTTTTTTTTCCTTTACTGCTTTTTTTGCTTTTTGATGTACAACTGAATTTGTAAATGTAATTATTATACATAAAAAGACAAAAAGAGCGAAAATTTCTGCGTTGGAAAACTAAAACCATTTAACAAGACTGTACCATATTTGTCGAAGCATGTTTGTCGTTTCCTTTTAATGAACGTGAAAGAAAAAAGAAAAAAAGAAGTGAAACATCTGGTGATCAAGAGGCCTTGATTTTACTCTGAAAGAAAAAAAAAGGTACATAAAATACTGCCATTCTTAACCAAGTAAAACAATTTTTAAATATTACTAATAAAACAAGATAAGAGTAGACCAGGTGATATATCTTTTTATTTTAGCACATTTTTGTGAAAAATCAAATGGGGTAAACAAAATAATGGGAAGCTTTAATATGAATAAATTATAAGAGATTAAACAATGTTGCTGCTTAGAAGTCAACATTATTTTATCTACTGTACATGTAGTAGTGTTAGAAGGCTATTATAGCACATAGCAACTCTAAAGGGAGAGTGATTAAGTGTCTTTGTTACATACAAAATTCGAAACACAGCCTGCAAATTTCTCTTTATATGTAAGGAGAAGTGCACTATGATACCATGTTGTCTTTAAAATAAAGACAATCGATATGGCTACAGAGTATGATTTATTTTCATAGTAAGATATCCACAAGGAATTAAAGCATTTTGCAGTTTTACTTTGTGCTGTATGTAACGCGGACACCTATCCATCAGAGTTTGTGCTTTATGTGACCTACAGAAGCTTCTCAGTAGTATAAGAAAAATTAAGAATTCCACCCACATTTCTTGCAGGTTCTTAGTGCTTGAGTGAAATACAGCGCTCTGAAGATGGACAATCGATGCTAAATCAAAGTGAAGGCTGGTGTGGTGTGTGCACCTCCCGCTTGCTGGAGTGTTAAGAATTAAGGATTTTGATCTTCAGGCAAATTTGGACATTGATCATTTGCTTAGTCACGCAGTCTTACTGCAGACAGCAGAAGAGCCATAAAATATGCACATGTCTCACTGTTGAAAACGTAGGTCCCACAAAGATAATGAAAGACTGCACGGTGCAGGGAAAATATATATATATACAGTAGGAGTAAAGCATAACACATCAGCAGCCATTGCGTTTATTTGGAGACCTACAGTAGTTAATAAGGCATTATTTCATAAGTGCACCAAAATCCAGATGTTCCCTTAAATGTGCTCTATCCTGTATGTACTGTATACAGTAGGTCATCTGTGCTGTTTTTTTCTCATTTTCTAAGTGCTAACTGGTTGTTTGTGTGTACATCCATGGTCACCCTGCATAAAAATGTACCATGATTTATAATTTTTAAGGATTCAACTAACAGAAAAAAATAGCCATAGGCTTTTCAAACAATTCTATACCGGTATGTAAGTATAAGCAAAATATGACATATTGAGGGACAGGAATTTTTTTTTTTGCTGTTCAGTAGAAAAAACTGAACTACTTTTCAGAAAAAAACAACATTTTGCTCTGAGTAAAGCTGTTTTAATGATCGAAAGCAATTTATGCTGCTGCTGATTATTGTTTTTTGTTATTATATAATTAAGTGCCTGCTAACTGTCCCTTTAACGCATCATTATAACTGCAGAGTACATAGAAAGAAATTTGTTAGGATCTTAGCCAACAAATGTAAGATGATACTAGATTAAGAAATTTTGAGCTCTGATTAAAGCAGGAAAAAGAGAACAAAAGCCTATTTTTCTTTGAGAAGTTTGTGTGCAAGGGCTGCTGAAGAAATGGATATTATCTGGAGAACCAATTTAAAGTCCTCATAGATGAAGTGATTATAAGTGGAGTACAGTCTGAATTGAACTATACTGCTACTGTATTGACATAAGGGGATCTATGATTTGTTTTAAAAAGTCAATGTTCGCGATGGCTTGCTGCTATTATATACTATATTTCAGCATCTTGTTGTTTTCACTTTTTTCCCCCAAAATGCTTACAAACTGTGCAAGACCACTCTACACAAAATTAAATAGGCAGTCTAGACTTTTCAAGTTTGAATAGAAGCAGAACCATTATTGCAGGCAGTGTTGAAAACATATTGTGTAATTTCTCAGAAATAATATTTAATTTCCTTCATTGTCTTAAAATGTTAATGGAATTAAAATGAAGTCACTGGCTTATTGCTGTTTCAATTCAAAGTGCTTAATTCACTTAGAATTACTTTTATACTCATAGAAAAGATTAACAATCAGTCATTGATCTTACTCAAACATAAAAAAATCTCATACAAAAGACTGGCAATGTATGAAATAAAATCTACACATATTGGACACCTGCATTAGTGATTTTCATGCTACTATTATAATTTTAGTAGTTAAAATCATACTTATTAACACTAGTAGCTTTCTTTAAAATAAAATGTCCCATAATACAATTGCCTGTGCTCTGAGAAGCTTTGTATACATCCTACTAAGAGTAAGAGATCCAGAGCTAGTTTTCAGACAGTTTGAACTTTTTTTAAACAAAAGGTTTTATGGAGTACAGGGACTGATACATATACATTTCTGATATGTGATTCAGATATTGGACTCTATCTGAATCTGATTATTTTTACTTTTTAAACAGTTTCATTAAATTATTGGCTGTTAGTAGTCTTGGTTAATAGTACTGTGAAGAGCTATTTTAACTTACTCGTCCTGTATCTGTTTTCTTTTGAATCTTGATTATGATCCTTTTATTTCAATTAACATACAGGATGTGTTAAATGATCAAAAAGATTAAATGTAAAACTTTTGATTTCCAGTTTCACTCCAGTGATTTAACACAACTCTCACACAAGAGAACTATGAGTCTTAGTTAAATCTTAAGAGTACGCAAAATTCAATTTCAGGAACCATCCAGTCACCCAGCAGGTGTTCCTGAAGTTATTCCATCTGGCCTCAGCTTTTTTTCTTCAGCTCAAAGAGCTGTGGCGCAGAGGGACATATTCACCCCAGGTGATATTAGGTCCCTTACTATTTGGAATATTGATTCCAATTTAAGAACTCCTAAGAGCTTGCAGACAAAACTGTGAGTTAGACATAACTGGGACTGGAGCTGGCAAAACCTGCAGTATGCAGCTGTTCTTGTAACAAACTGATAGCTCCCCATATGTGCTCTTCATTACTGTCAAGAAATTAGAATAACCAACATGCCAGGCGTGTATATTCCTAGAAATTATGTGTTACAAAATAGAAGAACAGATAACTTGCTCTGTGGAAGACATCCTAAGGTGAGTTATATTGTTTTATTCTTATAAAAGAAAGCATTTGTGTAGTTATTTCTAATGCTCTTTCATGAGATACATATATTTGAAGATACACACAGTAAAACATCCCTGAATATGTAGAACATCCATGTCAAAATTTACAATTACAAATCTGTAAATTAAGGATTCCCTCCAAACACTCAAAAATGCATTCAAACAATTTTTAAATCATGCAAACTCTTGGGAGACTCATAAAAACAAGAGAACATGCTACGACATGGAGAAATATTGCTACAGTAATAATATGTGATATATGATAATTCATTGGAATTTTTTACAAACTGCAAAGCATGACATATAAACAATTCACGACACTTACACTCTGTATTGAGCTTTTATTGATATGGTGAAACTAATGCAACTTAAGACTCTTCTTCTTTGCATCAGTCAGAGTAATTTTACAAGAAACGAAATCTCCTGAGTTTAGACTTGTACGTTTGAAACCAGGAGGCTTGTGTGTAGGAGATTAAGGGCTATGGGAACCATTAATACATAGCTTCATACCCACCCTACAGTATGTGCAATCTGAACAAATAAACTAAATTATTCATGGGGCTGCATTATTACTGGAACACCATAATGCTGGAGTATAGCAATAGGAAGATCTTCAATGTGGAAAGGACCGATGCATTCAGTGCACATGAAAGGAAAGGCTCATTGCTCACTTGGTTCGTGGCCTACCAGGGTGTTGTTCTTTATCTTCTACTGGTGTGGGACCATTAGCTGATGGTTTGATTATATTAACACTCTTATTTCATCTTCAGCTCTTTTATACAGAGAGGTTTTCATCATGCCTGCTTCAGCCTGGAAAGAGGGTAGGTTTCAGGAATGAAATTGTCCCAATGAAGGAACCTGCATGCAGATGGCACATTAGTGTTGCACACCCGTGCAGTTTTTTTTTCATGGTCTTCATGGAATTACAACTGTTTTTTCTAGAGAAAATGCTCGGAATCTATAGTATGCTAAAATTATATTTATATGCTTTTTGACTAAAAGTGTGATTCCATTAACTGGATTGTCTTTCATCTTGCATTTACATTTCTGGCAAGGTGTTTCCTAGCAAAACGAGCAGCTTTTCTTGGAATATTACTTCAGCATTTTTCATACGGCAAAATCAAGAAGCAGACATTTACTTTCACACTTTAAACAACACGTTTACGGCTCTCTTGAACGCATATGGATATGTTTAGGCAAAGCTTTTTATACCATTACAGTTCTAGAAGGAAAGGGAAAGTGTGTGGAGCATTGTTGCTATCAAACACATTATTCAACTGGACCTTTTCCAGGTCTTGGCTTTTGTCTGTTTTTATGTATTGATGCTAACTCTGAGATTGTTAAAATTCACAATTGCTCTTGGATACAGAATACCATCCGTATGAATCCAAATAAGCAAGTGTCAGCAAAATACGAAAAGAAAGACTTTAAAGAGATAGCTTCTCTGTGACTGACACAATTATCTTCAAATCTACACTACAATTCTGTATGGTGTAGGATTTAAAAAGCTTTATGTTTAAGACATAGAAAATAATTTCACTGGGGGATAATTCTATATTTGGTATTTGTAGATGATTATTGGATTCCACAGGGTGATTCCCTAAGAAAGGAAATTTGGGTTATTTCAGCAATATATTTAATTGAAATTGCCTTTAGTGCATCACAACTGGAGAAGAATGAAAGTTGCCCTATTAAGAAAATATTGCAACAGTTATCTATCTAGTTCAATTACGAGCAGAAGGTTGTGAAATCTAAGCAGCTGGAATGTGAATTTACTCAAGTTAAATACAAGGTGATATAACAATTTTCTTCACATCCCTTTGGAAATCCTTCCCATTAAGCATATGACTTTCACAAAAGCCATTTATAGCTTATTGTTTATTCTTGTTGTGGTTCACGGTCTACCTTCTCTTGACTACTTAGCTAAGAATTGAACTGCATGTCATCTTACGCTGTACTGCATTTCTTTTTCTAAAAGAACTTGGCCCCTTATTGTAATTTGCTTCAATGAAGCAATTTTTTGTCATGTACATGTTTCTCAGTAGCCTTGTTTCCAGGATTTATGTGAAAAAAAGTCATACAAACAAAAGCACCGGGGAAAGCTGTAGCATGTGTCTTGTTAGCATTCCTTTGAAGAAATGCGCGAAAAGAACATGAAAAACTATTAAATTTCAGTTTTATTCATCCACCCAACCATTTTCGAACCACTTTTTCCAAATCAGAGTGCCAGTAGGCAATGGGCACAAGGCACCATACAGCCTGGCATGCCAGTCCATCACAAAACACGTATAGGTATGTCTTTTGTCTGCGGGAGGAAATCAGACCACCTCGAAGAAACCCACAGAAACAGGCAGAACATGCAAACTCCACACGTATAGAACCCCAGGTCCAGAATTGAACCAGAGCTGCAAGACAGCAATGCTAATTAGTGTGTCGCTGTGCCACCCCTATGAAGTCTATATGGCACTAAGATGTTGGTCGAAGTGATTTGAGTGGCTCTGTACATCCTGGCCTAGATCCCAGAAGATTTTTCAGAAGTCAAGAATTAACTGAAATCCCAGAGCCTTTATTTACAATAGTGCCATTTATATGTAATGCAGTACTTCACAAATTTCACTTTTTTTTTTGCACTGTAGGAAAGGCTGTTACAAAGACAGCAACCAGTTAATTATGCTTTCGGATTGGAATAACATGTTACAGCATTAACAACCATTCATTATTACTGTTGTTGTCGCTCTTTTACCTAGAGCTGATTTTCATTTCAAAGATTGAGAAAAGAAAGAATGAACACTGCTGAATAATTATGAATTTGTGATAAAGAGGTTACTGAAAATGGATGACCACAAGGTAACACAACACTTTAAAATAAGAAAGAGAAGTACAGTGCACATTACCCCCGAGAGCATTGCGACACTACGCCTTTCCATTAACATCTCCATTACACTTTTACAAAGCAGGCAATCACCCGCCATGCATTAAATAAAGACAAATAAATAAAATGAAATTTTGTGGCTTTTAAAGCTCCTTGATATCAGCAAAAAGCTATTCCAGCTCAAATGAAATTAAATGCGATAATGGTTTTAGCATTACAAGACTGATCAAAAACACATTAAGCCATGTCTATGCAGCAGATGTCAGGCAATTTTCATACAATGTTCAGCACTGAACTCAATGCTTCACATAAATAGGATTCATTTTCCTCTTCTCATCATACCACATGCTTTAATTCAGGACTCTAAATATCTCTGACCAGTCTGTACCAGAACTGCCCCTTACAGGTACAGTCAACCTATGACAAATGCCAACCTCTGAGCCACAAAATGCTGGGTCAGGGCTACAGATCAATTTAGGAGTGCATGTTTCGGTGACCCGTCACTGTTGGCTTGCGGAACCCTTTTGGGCTCCTAGGATGTAACTGGTTGTTCCCTTTTGGACCACAGTCCTTCACAGAGCTATTAGGTCTTAAAAGATCCTCAGCTCCTCCTGAGCATGCAGACCTCTTCAGTCCTCTCTTCCATTAAGAGAGCTGGAACAGACCAATTTCTGATGAAAAATTCTCTATTTCTCTTCTCTACCAGTGTAAAATCATTATTTTTGTTCCCTGGAACCCTTGGCACTAATCAGACTCTCATCCATTGCCACTCTTCCTCTTACCTAGGAGGAACCTGTCCATCACTACTATCCCATCTTCCCTTCACTGGAAGCTACATGTACAGTACCTGGTCTACTTACAGTATACCCAGTTTCCAACAACAAACACTCTACTACTCTGTAGAAGCTGAAGGGTTAGAATTAATCCATGAATACACTACATACTAGAGAAACAAATGCTAAATCCTCTGTAGAGCCATCTTTCTTTACTAGATCCAACAATAGCAAATCTTCATTAGATCTTTCCAACTTCTCAAACCTGAGCTGGACCTCATGTTAAAGCGCAAGAGGTTAACACTCCAGTATTATCTAAACTTGCTGCACTGCAGGTTACAGCTAACACACTTTTCCTCCCTAAACTACAGGAGCTTAGCAATCACCCTGCATTTTGCACCTGACTGCTGTTATAATGACTGCTGCAACTCCTGAAGAACGTCCAATTCAGCACAAGTCCAATCAGATGATCTCTATTCTGCCTGTGGAATTCCATTCCACAGATGTCCAATCAGTTAATCAAGGCAGGTGTGTCCAATTTACTGCAGAGAAGGAAGAGGCTCTAACAGCCTCAGCTTGCTCCATCACACAGCCAATGACACTTTGGAAGCTGAGCAAAATAGTGAGTGTTTTGTTAAAGAATGAAAAAAAAACAATATCAGGAGTCTCAGAAACACAGCAAAAAGAGACTTGATTGACAGAGAAAACAAAAAATGGCAAAGATATTCAAAATTACTAACAAAACAAACAATGAAAAACTTCCAAAAGTGGTGAGAGGAGAAACTGACACGGTACATAATAAACGAAATACTAGACAAAACAATATAGCCACATCCTAAATTATTGCCTTCAAAAAACAAGGCTGAAAAATGCTCTACCTTCTCCATATTAATTCCTATTATTATAAACTTTCATTTACACCATTTTGGTTACAATGATTACAATACATGTCCATGTTGACGATGTTAAGAAAATAAATGTATGTGCAATATGTGCCGCAGATTTAAAAATAGCTCAGTCACACATGCAAATTGAAAACTGATCCTTGAAGACTACTTTCTGTTTGCTTAACATTGTATTTCATGATTCTACTCAACTAGATGCTGCCATTAAGTAGTTTTCATGTTTATATGTGTTTGGGACAAAGGCTTGATTTAGTCCCAAGAGATCCTTTGAAGTTAAATTTATATAATTGCTTATATACATTTTCTTTCAGTCTGTGGAAATCTTTGATGGTGCTGGGGATCTAGGGGATGTTAGAAATCATATTGTTCTCTACAAAAGCAAGGTGCTCCTACCTTTGGTCTTTGTGGTATTTTTCAGACTCTTACTTTCTTTATGCAACTGTTCGGTCTCCTTTGGAATGAGAAAAACACAATTTTTAAAATAAGCAAAGAAATGTGTAAGTAACGACAAATTCTATAAAGATAAAATAATATATATTTTGTGCCAACAGTGTACTATTTCCTGAGAGGATATAAATATACTCCTTTCTGGGGTACACATTTCACCTTTAAAAATTAGCTTTGCCATATTTTTCCATCATTTCTATCAGTCATTACTACAAGTATATCTCCATGATGGTTTTCTGTGCTAACACACTTATGTGGTTCCATTATCCAGTACAGCTCCTGAAGCAGTACTTTCTCTGATAGATTCTGTTCTGTTTTTGCCTGAGACAAATATAATTTCAATTATTTCCTTGAGTACTGTATTTTCTTTGCAAGAGACAGTGACAATGATACCTGATTATAAAGTCTGAGTTCCTGGAATACTATCATATAAGGCCACACAGAATTTCAGATTCCAATTACACGGGATTTACAGTTCCACAAGTAGGTACAGTAACGTAGTTAAGGAGCTACTGAGGTTTAATTGGCAAAGCATTACCAGCAAACCTGCCGCTCTTCTACAATGTCTGCTATCTTGTGAAAACAAAGAACAAAGAACAGATGTGTGCTTTTACTTTAAGGAAAGAAAGAACTGTGTGTCAGCAGTTAGTACATTCCTATTAATCTATATATGGTTTAGGGTTTATGAGGTTTAATGTAATGTACGATAATTGTTAAGACACTGGAAGAGATTGATGTTGCCACCCAATGTAACAGGCAATAAATGTGCTTATATAGTTTCACAAGCTCCTAATAGAATTTAGACATTTGCTATCAATGCCTAAAGCTGTTAGAAATCAATTTGTTTTCTTTAATATTGTGCGGGAGTTTTTACTTTAATCATGTGTTTATTTATCTTAAGTGCACTTGGTAAGCACATATTTTCATAGGTCAGTTATACATGAAAATATTCCTGCAGTATTTCACTTTAATTTCACTGACATTGGTTAATATTAGCCCTTAATAACTTTTTTTGCACTATTCAAATATATATTCAGTACAACCTTACTTTCTTCTTCTTGTATGTGTTTATATTTCATTTCTTTTGTTAGGTTTTAATCAATAGTCATTCGCTAGATGGGTATTTTTAGTTTTCTTTCACTTTTGCACTTTAATTTCCCTGACCTGATTTCAATATCGGATTAACAATTATCCTCACACAAGTATTATATTCAAGACTGATTGAAATAAGTGCTAGATCCCAAGAGCAAGTGTTTGATTTAGTATGGAAGGAGAGTTGGTTATGAAGGCGGAGAGGGGTTGGAAAGGGGCCGTAGACAGGGTTTACCAACATTTGCTGGAAATTAAAATAGAATGTCAAAAATAGGAGCTGTATTGAATACTCCTATTGCAAGTAAAAGCAGCTCATAGGATTTTGAGGAAGGACCATAAAACAGGCCCACTTTATCTAACCTTATCCCTGAGCTGTCACCAAAGGATGATCTTGGCTGGCAAAGTGTTACAAGGTGCTGGCAGGACTCTCTAATCAGTGAGTTACAGTAGATTCTAAATATTAGGGTATAATTCACCTTCAGCTTGTGGCTGCCCACTAGTTGATGTAGACTGGCAGAGACAAATTTTAGATCCTAGGCACTGAATCTAGTTACAGCACCCATTTTAAATTGTCCTATCAATGCTTTGTCATTTTTATACAGCAGGCTAAACTGAAATATAGTATTTTAACAATGTGTTCATTTTAATTACTTAAGCAATAGTAAATTATTCATTGTTTATCGGTAGTTTGTGGTTCAATCCCCAGCCTGGCTATAGACCCATTATGTGTCATATTGCGTGAGTTAGTACACTCAACCCATATGCTGAGCAAGTGCTTTTGCTGAGTGAGTCATTTGGAAGCCCCACACAGAAGCATGACCTGATGCATCGCTTCCAACTGTGTCTCTAGAAGACAGGCTCATCTGATAAACCATCCATTAATATTACTTCAGCAACTTTCTTTCCATTACCATTCCATTTTAATGCCAACTCTCTCCTCTGTGTGCAAGCAAAATAGATTCAATCTCATGGAGAGCAAGCTGGGGTATGCGGAAAGACAAATTCCAAATCCAAGAAAATTAATATGGCCATTAAATTGATCTTATAATAAAAAATGGGGTAGAGCAGTGGCACTGTGGAAGGTTGCTGGTTCAAATCCCATGGTCGGCAATAGAATCCTACTCCGTTAGGCCCCTGAGCAAGGCCCTTAACCCCAACTGCTCCAGGTGTGCCGTATAAATGGCTGACCCTGCGTTCTGACCCCAAGCTTCTCTCTCCCTGTCTGTGTTCCTGTGTGTCTCATGGAGAGCAAGGTGGGGTATGTGAAAAGACAAATTCCTAATGCAAGAAATTGGATATGGCCAATGAAGTCATTTTATCTGATTCATTTTTTCTTTGGAAAGACCCATGGTTGCCCCATGGCGTGAATTTCTGTACGCTGACAATGCACTGATGAAAGTGTAATGTTGCACACTACATCCGTTTGTGTTTACAACACTGTTGTGCTTATGTTTTGGGGTTACTGCTAAAGGCCCAGAGCAGCTGGGTGATTAAGCATAGTAGGAGAGCTAGTTACCAAGCCAGAGAGAAGTTGGGAAGGGGCAGTAGACAGTTAAGGCACGTAGGTGTCTTGTCAGGTTTTTGCCATTCTCTGTCAGTTCTAAGACATGCACAATAAAGAGAAGGCATCTGCAAAACCTGTCTGTCTCAGTCCCTGGTTTTTTCCAATGTAACGCATGGAAAACACAGTGTTTTCACTTACAGTATATGATTCCAGTATCCAGTAGAGTGAAGATGTGCAACACAGGGTTTTCTTGGTAAATTTTGTTTTGTTTTTGCCTGAGACAAAGACAGTCAATTATCTTTGTTTGCAAATGATCAAATAGATCAGGTCTGAGAGTCTATATCCTAGTAGAAGCCCCTGAATGAAGAGATTTCTTATTTCTGCAAGCCATGTCATTTTTCTGTCAACACAATATCTTTGTATTCAACTGAACTATGTTGATCTCTGTTTTTTGATCAAAAGATATAATACAATATTTGTTCTTTGTATAAATAAATGTAAATCTTATACTTTTCAATTTATTTATAGTTTTCACTTACCTTTTATTTATATATTTATACCCAGCTAGTTGGAGCAGACAATCAATCAACTTATATCTCCTTCAATCCCTATACCAGCACAGGGAGAATGACAGCTGTGCACCCTCTCTTCTAGATCATCCATTGCAAGGTCCCAAGCACATAGAGGCAACTGGGATAGTGGTGTAGTTCTCTCTAAAATTGCAGAAGGTTTCCTCGGCCAGCACAAGCCCCAGCAATGTTCAACCCCAGAGGCTGGGCTAATTCAATAACCCAGGACTGAATTGGCAATGCCTGGACTATAGGACACAATATGCACTCTTAGGAGGCCTCTTTCCTTCAGAACGTCTTCAATATGAAATATTAGGAGAGATGTAATTAATATAGTTGAGTAAATGCTAGATTAAATGTGTAACAAGTAGAATATTGCACATGGAATGCAAATTATGAAGAAATATATTTCATCTGTAGCAGGTGGAGGTACAAGCAGCTGTTTTCCCGAAGATGTGCAAACAGCTGCGGGAGTAAACACACTTGTTAGTGTAAACTCTCACCTTGCAGAGAATTAGAGCAAATCCGGTAAATGTGAGATATATATCTCACACTATTTGAGATACATTGTAAATACCTTAAGGCTGTTACTATTTCAGTCTTTTGAAGTTAAACTAAGAACAGAACATAATGCTAGCAGACACTTAAAAGAGGAAGTGCAAACATTTTCAAAATATTTTTGTTAAAATACATTTGGTTATAATAATAATAAATAATGATATATATATATAAGAAGCATATATAATAATACATAACTATTATATAAAACGTATATAATAATAAGTAAATAGCTAATACCAACTTATAACCTCATAATAATAAACATCTATCAATTATCCAATACAGCATTACAGGGGTGCTGGAGCCTTTCCCTGTAAGCAATGGGCGCAAGGAAGAATACAGCCTGGATGGGATGTGTGTCCATCGTAGGGTACATACTGTATAGAAATACATAAACTCACACTCAAAAAGGTCAATTTTCTCAAGCCAATAAATCTTCAAGTATGTCTATGGACTGTTGGGGGATACCCATGTGAACAAACAAACTTCATGCAGACAGCATTCCCAGGAATAAACCCAGGAAATTAGCTCTGCAAGGCAAGGCAGCACCCCATGATGGAGCTGGAGCCTATACTGACAAGCAACGGGCTCATAGTAATATGCAATACAAATTTTTCCTAGATATTATTTGTTCTCCTGAATTTAAAAGGATAAAGCTATCACGGGGAAAATAATAATGGTCTTTTTTATAATTCTATTCTGCAGCATTTTGATTCTCATAATACAGTATAATGTATATACCGATGGAAAAAAGAAACGCAACATTTTCTGGAATGACAATACTATAGTTATAGCTTATGTACTTTGACAAAAAGTTGTCAATTTGTTATAAGCCCTCTGACCTTAGGCATTGCAACTTGCCAATCACATGAAAGCGCTTTAGGTGCACTTTTACCCAACAAGGTATAGGTGGAACAATGGCTGATCAGACCTTTAAAAGGCCTTTATTCGAAGCTTAGGTCACTGCAAGAAAAAGACCACACTTTTTGCACGGTTTTCTGTGCATTTCATAATGCCTCGAATATCACCAGAAGCAAGAGAGAGGGCCATTGGCATGCTGCATGCAGGCATGCTGTGTACCAGCGTTGCCAGACACTACGGAGCAAGTCAATCCACTATGTCCTGACTGCAGAGGAGATTTCAGCAGACTGGCAGGACAGATGACCGTCCAAGATCCAGTCGCCTTTGAGTGACCACACTAGAGCAGGACTGACACATCAGACTGGTCCATCTGAGAGATGGTTTCAGATCTGCAACCCATACTGCTGATGAAACTGCTGGCAGACACAATGCCCGCATCAGTGACAGGACAGTGACGCTCCATGTTGCTGGCCTTAGAGCAATACTACCTGTCAGAGGCCCTCTGCTCACACCTCCTAGACATCACACCTGCTTGACTTGGGCCAGACAGAAGCTGTGATGCACAGCAGTGGCATCAGGTTCTCTTCACGGATGAGTCACTCTTCAGCCTGTTCCACGCAGACAGGAGGGCCACAGTGTGGAGGAGGTGTTGCATTTCTTTTTTCCATCAGTATATGTGGAGGAGATGGTCTTAAACATAGTTATCAACAACAGTCTTCACTGTACAATGGAATGAGGTGGGCATGGGAATAAGTAATTC